TTCAGTGCCAACGAGAAGACGGGTCGTCTGAACAGCAGCATCTCTGTCTGGAGTGAAATGGCTTTCTCTCCTCTTTTGTATTTCCTGGAAATGCCTCAAGTCCACGAAATGTTTGGAAGTGAAAGCAACGAGTCGCTCAGAGGGAAAGTCCCTGCACTCCCTCATCACAGCGTCTCACACACACACACACACACACACACACACACACACACACACCCCAATAAGGACCAGTTGGGGGAGCACCTGGACCAAAAGCAAATTTGCCCATGGGCACAACAACAAAACAAAAGAAATTTGATTTCAAAATGATTTTACACACGTCTGTATCCTCTGTACACGACCTGGTGTCCCCTCATGTTTTTACATCATCGTGCAAACCTACCTAACCTAACTTTCTCTCTCTTGTCTACCTCATTGTCTGGAGACACGCCTCTTATGTTGAAACAGGGGAGGAAAGAAAAATAAGTCTAAAGTCCGTCAATTGTTTGATCTTTTCTGCGACACCCACTTTCATTTGTTGAGGAAGTGAGCTCCTGGGCTGCCGTTAGCAGTGGTGATATTTTGACTGCGTAAAAACAGGAAATATTCATTTTCAATCATTTTGTGCGCCATCGTTTACAAACTCCGAAAACGACACTTAAACTAAGTTGGAGAAGAAGTCACTTCCTGTACGTTTTTTTAAAAAAATGGCTGGCACCTAACCCTGGAAGCTTTGCACTCTGCATCAGGAAGCCAGGAGAAGACGTAAACGAGGGAGGAGATTCAAAAGAGCTGGCGCACGGCGGACGTACCTCCGAGGGAATGTCCCAGTGGAGCCTCTGAGGGTGGGGCAGCGAGCGGTCCACCTCCCCTTTACAGTGCCCGTCCTCAGTGTAGCCCAGCTGGAAGGCGTCTGTGGCCAGGGTGTACTGGAGAGGAGACACACGGCACGTTCACATGCAAATATACACAATACACAGGATCGATGTCACTGAAAAAGTAAAAACGGACGAACCCACCTCCCACAGGTGAGCCACAGTGGGAGCGTCGGCCCAGGAGTGCTCTGCATTCAGTCCGCTCTTCCCGTTCTTGTAGATCACAATAGAGAACGATTTATCGAACCACCTGCAGGATGAGATCAATGAACAGTGTTTGAAGAAAAACACGTTTTATTTGTGACGCCAAGGAGAAGTGCTACATTACCCACAATCCTCAGGTGCAAAGGTGGATTTTAAGGAGCTTCGCCGTGGAAATGTTTATCGGCGGCCACGAAAACCCGAATCACTACGATGGGATTACTTCTCTTTCTGAGAAACACCGCTGCACTATTTTATTTTATTTTTTTAAAGAAACGAGGCAAACAGGCTCATTCACAATGCATTATGGGATGTGTGGTTCCTTCACTTGAAATACTCACGCACACAGCCCTGTACCTTTGCCCCCGTTGTCACTCTCACTGCTCTGGATGTTAAGAAACTCACCCTCGACCTGGATTAAAAACTGTTCTCTGAGACGTCGATGGAGGAACTGAACTGAACCAGAGACGCTCTGAATGAAGCCGATGACGAGAGGATGAATGAATCCTAACATTCTTACAAATACTAGAAATGTGAATTCGGTATATGTTGGTGGGTGGGCGACATTTCAATTGACAGTGGACAACAAGACACAATCACTGACACAATCGGGCCAGTGTCAGCAGTTAACACGGACACTCGCAAAGACTGAAGGGGGACTTGTTGTCCTGACCTATGAGAGACCGACTTTACTGCTGCCAAGAGTTTAAAAAGGTCACGGAGAGACAGAGGAGGGGAGGACAGAGGAGGGGAGGACAGGCTGAGGAAGTGAGACGAGGAGAGACGAGGACGAGCTGTTGTTCCGCCAGAGTTGAAATATCACTTGAATCTGTTTATCATCATCTGTTGAGTTCAGGATTCAAACTCGCATCTCAAGGTGAACTTTCCCTCCTTCTCACCTGTCGTAACATTTCCCGTGGAGCAGCGACTTGGCGTAGCGGTCCAGGTTTCCCGCCGGGTCCTCCCCCCTCATGCCTTGCTCCTGATCGTCCAGCGTAACGAAGAACGCCGCCCTCTCGATGGCATCCAGCGAGCGCTTGTTGATGCCGGAGCCGAAGTGCTGCTTCCTGATGTGGGACCAAGGAACCCTGGGTAAAAGGGGGCGACACATAAATCTGTTTATCACGGTGTTCGTCAGTCTGAGCACAAAAATAAAAAAATTAAAAAACACTTCTAACTGATCCAGGAGAAGAAGTCTGAGGAGCAGAGTTCATTAAAGAGGAAACAGCAGATGTGCTTTTTCAGCAAAACCACACGTTCTGAAATCTAACAGCTGGTTGCCGCTTCCTCCCACTTCTCAAAAATAAATAAATCACGTTTCAGTCAACGAGCCTCAGTTACCACTTCCTCCCACCTTTCATTGAGAACAACTTGAAGAAATAAATAAGTGACGTTTCAATCAACCACCCTCGTGCAAAAAACGTCTGTGAAGTTCCCACGATCACCAAATTAATCTTTTTATTATTTTTTTTTCTTTCTTACAAATACGAGCAGAATTAAACAAGTGGTCGAAGTAAAGGAACGTTTAAGTGTCGGTGGAGACTTGTGTTTAACGTCTTTCTACTCCATGGGACCGTGAGAACTCTGATCCATTACTGACTAACAGAGGCCTCGTTCAAAGGATCCGACGATAGCTGCGTGACTAGAATACCATAAATATCTGAACTCCTCTCTGTCGGTCTGTGTTGACAGCTCCGTCCTGTTCAGATGAATACACACTCTGACGTGTCCATTGATATTTTCTGTTGGACCCTCTGTTGTGGCCTGAGATCTTCAGAAGAAGAAACGCTTTTATTAAATCCAGGATGTTATTTCCTCATTAGCTTATGAACGAATGTGTAAAAGAGCACGTCGTGAATATTTCTACATTATTTGTGTGTGAACTCCAAAGTTGCTGCAGCTGAGAACAAGAAATAATTATATATATTTCTGTGAGTTAAACAGTAAAACTCAACACAGTGATTCCAGAACATTCAGGCTTTCTGCTCCTTTTCTCTTCTGAAGTTTCTGATGTGTGACGAGCTGTTAAAACTTCTTCTCCTCTTCTGAATTCTTCTTTCCATTCCATCGTTTCACTTTCAAAAATCTATTCTCAGTTTCTACTTGTTGTTTTCTTTTCTCTTTACCAGTTCTAAACCTCACTGTCTGACGACTTGATAAATCCCAAAGACAACCTCCCCTGCAGAGAGTCCCAGTGGAACAAGTTAACATGAGACCGAGATGATTATTGGCGATGATGTTCAGAGTGTGTTTGAATGTCTGGCAGTCAAACTCCGCCACCTGAGTTACGCTGGTTGTTCGGTGTCGGATAGAAAAGCCGGGACAATAAACAAAGTTCCCGTTCAACGTGTCGTTGTTCTCCTGGTTCATAACGACGCAACAGAAACATCACAGTGGCCACGAGTCGTTTCGTCAGTGAGACTGTTTACTGTCTGGCATCACAAGCTTCAGCCGCAAACATGGTTTGATCTGATGAGTCACTCTGAGCAAGAGACGCTTAATTCGGCTGCTCAAAAAGCACGGGCTCGAACGTAAACAATACGCTGACCTCGGGCGAGTTCTAGATTTCTTCATGCGTCTGGTTCAAACACAGTGAGAGAGTGTGATGAGGAGGATGAGGAGGATGATGCTGGTGATGTCCGGCTGCTCAGGTCTACCCCCCAGTGATGAAACGCTCTTACTGCATCTTGAGTTTATTCAGCATCAGGGCCTGAACGTCACAAATACACACACACACACATCCATCCTCCCTCCCTCCCTCCCTCCCTCCCTCACCTCCCCCACACAGTCCCTACCTGTCTCCAGCAGTGAGAGCTCCCAGTTTCTCCTCTCCAGTGTGTGGAGGTGAGGAGTCGTCCAGGATCCTCTGGACCTGGAACTCGATCTCTCGTGGAGACAGCAGGCGGCCTGCGCGGTACACCCACAGGCGGAAGAAGCGGCCTTTGTGGTACACCGCCACGAACTCGCTGTCCTGCCAGTGCTGCAGCACGTCTGTGGAGGGGAGAAGACGATTACTCGTATATCGTCCTTCTACTCGGGACAGATCAGAACCTGAGAGCTCTTGGACCGACTCAGTGTCCGAACGTCAGCCGACAGAATTATATCCAATAAACAATAAAGAACACGTGCTGTGAGAATGTGTGTGTGTGTGTGTGTTACCGGTCTCTTCTCCTGGAGTGCGTGTTGTGTTGAACATCCTCTCACACTGAGCGGCACACAGAGGGATGACGGTACCTGGAACACGACTCTACACACACACACACACACACACACACACACACACACACACACAACACACACATTATTAATATGTATTGTTTGAAGTAACACTCCGACACATGATACGGCACATTTCCTAACTTGCAATATTTACTTATATGTACTTTTATAAACGATATCTGCGTAATGATTTGGGACGTTTTATGGAATTCAAGTGAGTGTGTGTGTGTGTGTGTGTGTGTGTCACAAGTCAACAATAAAAATGTCTGTGCACACATAAACAACTGTCTGTACCTCCACTATCTAAAATCGAGAAATTGACTCTGTCCCACATGTCAGAGGACAATGATTTACAGTTACGGCGTTCAAAAGAGTCGTCTTCCAAAAAGATGGAGGCGTGGATAACTGATTTAAGGGAGGATATCCAGCTGCTACAATATAAGAGGTTAATGATTGAACCACATATACGCTAACGTTCCTGATGTGTGTGTGAAATGCAGAGAAGGGTACACGAATCCATTGTTTATGGGAAACTGAAAGAATCTGGGAAAGTGTATTACATTGTACTGGGCTCATAGTTGGAAGGGAAGTTCCGTTGCGAGCCAAAATATGTTTTCCTGGGAATATATCCAGAAAACTTCGTGACCCCAAATCTGTCTCAGCGGCACTCACTGCTCATTGACTTTGGACTCTTGCAAGCCAGGAGGATAATCGCACCATTGTGGAAAAGTACGGACGCACCTTCTATTGGAATGTGGACGAAAGACCTGATGTCCTGTCTCGCTCTGGACAAACTAACATGTAGAATTTAGCTGATATAGACTTTCTGGAAACTCACAACCTTGAATTGTGATTAATTCTACAAGTTCTGTAAATGATGCACTGCTGTGATCCTATTGGAATACATGATTTGATTTTTTATATTTCATTTATCTAACCCTCATTTTTAATGTGTTAAAATGTTTAAATCTATGAGAAAAATCACAATAAAAAAATACGATGAATAAAATGTCACGAGTCGTATTTTAGCTGCACCGTGGTGTCCCGCCTCCTTTGCAAACATGTCCTACCCACAAAAACACACACACTCATTAATCAATCATCTCTGCAGATATCGCTGCAGTTTTACCGGTTTGAGTTCCTCCCGGTTGACTTTGCGGCGGTAGAGCAGCAGGGCAGTGATGGTGTTTCCTGCTCTGGCAGCCTGCAGCGGGGTCGGGGTCACATACAGAAAGTCCTGGACAATCGAACACACACACACACACATTGGACTTTAGATTTAAAACAAAATGATGCACGAACATGTACTGTGACGTCAGAACAACTTTGAACTGGAGGTTGCAGGTTACCATGCCGTAGTAGTTACTGTTGACCATGATGGGACCTCGGCTCCTCAGGTAGATGAACTCCTCCCACCAGTCACTCACCTGGAGACACAGACACAACGTTGAGTTTGTTCTTCGTTTCAAACCACAAAGAGCGACTGCGTTCAAACTGCAGAGTATCCACACTCACATAGTTGGTGGCCCACAGAGCTTTCAGTTTCAAGTAGCGCTGGAGACGGTTTCCCAGACTGGACTCGAACTGATTCCCCAGTTCAGTCATCCGTTCAAACTCCGGATCCGTCAGCAGGGGGCGCACTGACTCCAAGTACTGAGAGACAGAGTCAGTGGAAATTATCAATTTAGATGAAAACGTGCACAAACATCAAGACACAGTCACACACAGAGGACATAAAGGTGTGTGTGTGTGTGCGTGCGTGCGTGCGTGCGTGTGTGTGTGTGTGTGTGTGTGTGTGTGTGTGCTCACCCTGCTCAGTGTGTCTCTGATGGCAGGAACAGGCAGGTGAGGTAGAGACGTCTGGTAACTGTACAGCAGAGGCTTCCTGCTCGATAACAACCTCAACAGCGTCTGAGAGAAACAAAAGACAGAACTTTCTGACCTGCACTGAACTCTGGGTAATCTCCTGATGTTCTCCAGAGATAAAAAAATAAAAATCTTACCACCCAGACTTTGGTGGTGTTGGAAACTCTGCCGTGCTGCTCGAACATCCACTGGTGGTAGGAGAGCAGCAGCTTGAGGCAGAACCTGAGGGCGAGGATGAGCGAGAGCCACAGCAGGGTGCTGAAGACCAGCGCCGACAACATGGTCTGACCCTGAGCGCTGAGCGACACGTGCAGGCTGCAACAAGGCAGACAGGTCAGCGATTGATATTAGAGCACTTACTGCACAGTGTCTTTTACACTATATATATACCAATAAAGCTTATACGTGGATCATATTTGCAGATCAGGTTTCAAATGCCACATTATTATTGTAATCTGTAGATGTGCACCACAACAACCAGCAGGGGGCAGCACGCCGTGCACATTAAGTCTAATTAATACCGTAATTAAATATAATACAGATGCAGGGAATCAGTTCATCTAGTCCACATCTGTCGAGAATCACACAAACCAAGAATAGAAATATAAACACAGCATAATAATGTGGAAATAATTAACAGGAAAACAAATATGGGAATACAGAAAAAATGAACAGGGACGGAGAAAAGGAAGGAGAGAGATGATGAAGGGGAGAAAAAACTAAAGAAGGAAAAGGAGGTGAAGATGAAGG